CACCGACCGCCTGAACTCGGGCCCCTCCTTCTCCGACTTCGTCTCCGGCGACGCCGCCGCCGACGACACCATCGCCGACCCGAATGAAGCGTACGCGCTGAAGACGGCGCTGGTCGGCCCCGCGGGCCGCAAGAAGGAGATGACGCGGCTGCCGTCGTGGCTGAAGACGCCGATCCCGGACTCGAAGAACTACCAGCGGCTGAAGAAGGATCTGCGGGGGTTGAACCTGCACACGGTGTGCGAGGAGGCGCGGTGCCCGAACATCTCGGACTGCTGGGGGGGCGGCGACAAGGCGGCGGCGACGGCGACGATCATGCTGATGGGCGACACGTGCACGCGGGGGTGCCGGTTCTGCAGCGTGAAGACGCAGCGGCGGCCGCCGCCGCTGGACCCGCACGAGCCCGAGAACACGGCCGAGGCGATCAGCCGCTGGGGGCTAGGGTACGTGGTGCTCACGAGCGTCGACCGCGACGACCTGGCCGACGGCGGCGCCCGCCACTTCGCCGAGACCGTCCTCAAGATCAAGACCAAGGCCCCCAGTATTTTGGTGGAATGTCTGACCGGCGACTACATGGGCGATCTGGAGATGGTCAAGCTGGTCGCCCGCTCCGGGCTGGACGTCTACGCCCACAACGTCGAGACCGTCGAGGCCCTCACCCCCTTCGTCCGCGACCGCCGCGCCACCTTCCAGCAGAGTCTGCGCGTCCTGGACGCCGCCAAGCAGGCCCGCCCCGACCTCATCACCAAGACCTCCTTGATGCTCGGCTTCGGCGAGACCGATGACCAGATCGCCGATGCCCTGCGCCAGCTGCGCGCCGTGAATGTGGATGTCGTCACGTTCGGCCAGTACATGCGCCCCACCAAGAGACATATGGCCGTCCACGAGTATGTCACGCCCGATCGCTTCGAGATGTGGCGCCAGAAGGCCCTGGAGATGGGCTTCTTGTACTGTGCGTCCGGCCCGTTGGTCCGCAGCAGTTATAAGGCTGGTGAGGCGTTCATCGAGAATGTCCTGAAGAAGAGGCGCGCCGGGGGTACGGTGGGCGCCGAGCCCGTCGAGAAGAAGGTCCCCGTTGACGAGTTCGCTCGGTAAATCAGCAGCGTCTCGTTTCTTTCTTGTGTGTGTGCTTTGGTATATCGGTTTCCTCCGGCGTAGGGTTAGCATGATCTGTTTTCGGTCTCGGTTTCACGTTCGACTATTCTGGTATCTGGTTTCCATACGGGGTGTGATGTGCTATGCTACTACTACTTTCTTCATAGACCCTAAAACTTCAATCCCGGCTGAGCGGCTGATGGGGTTCAATCAAACATAATTTCCAAACATGTATGTTCATTTCAATGAGATATTGTCAACGTATCAACAAGCTATCAAATCGAGCATTATGACTCGCATAATGATCCTAATCGGCCGTTCAATTAACCAATCCGTGGTGCTGCAGCCTTCTGCTGCATACCTTGGTATGTACCCACTTGCTTCCTGGTTCACGCCAACCACAAATGTAATCAATCTTACTCGTTCGTTCTAACTCATGACTCTCCAAAAGCGTGGCTTGATGATGGCATGACAGAGACCCGGTCGAATGGGCATTCTCAAGCCGAGCCCCGTGCTAAAATCAAAGAAAAAAAAACGGTATCGGAAGAAAATAATCAAGAAGAAAAATCAACCGAGATTGTTGTTGCGTGGAGAAATCTGAGCGAGAAAGTTTGAAAATGAGGAAATTCGCTCTTCAATAAGTCGTTTCCATGTGTTCCTTGCCGAGTAGTTGGTGGGAAAATGATGGTCCATTCGATAGTTCGGTCATGGACAGTATTTACAGACTCCAGGCCTTGTGTCGTGACCGAATTATACGAGCAGTTCTTTGACATCATCCCGGTTGAGTCCAAGCAGGTACAAGATGTCTACGAGGCTCTCTCCGTTGAGACGAGTAGGGGCCTCAAGCTGGACCTTGCTCTTGGCGCGCCAGGCAACTCCAAGCCCAGCCGCGTGGAGCATGAGCAGGTCATTGGCACCGTCGCCCACAGCAACGACCTGAGAGATCGGGATTTCGTTCTGCTCCGCGATCGAGTGCAACAGCGTGCGTTTCTGGGCCGCATCGATGATCGGGTATGATGGCACCAGCTTGCCCGTCAAGGTTTGTGTGGTGGGGTCGATTTCAAGCTAGCAAGGTCAGTTACTGTGCTACCCGGGCGGAACACATGAAAATCAAGGTCACGTACATGATTAGCAAAAGCATAGTCGAGGCCGAGCTCGCCAGCAAGCCACTCCGCCAAAGGCTGGAAACCTCCGCTCAAAACTGCCATCTTGCAGCCAAGAGTCTTCAAGGCCTTGCACAGCTCGCGTGCGCCAGGGGCGATGGTGATGATCGACTTCAGCTTCTCGAAGACGTCTGCGGGGACACCCTTCAGCAGGGAGACCCGCTCCTTCAAGGATGCAGAGAAGTCGAGTTCACCGTTCATAGCACGGGCCGTAATTTCCTGTCGGCTCGGTCAGTACAAAATTTCTTTGAACCACGGCATTCGACCAGGACTGACCGAAACTTCCTTCTCGACACCGATGAACTTGGCGATCTCATCGATGACTTCGTTCTGGATCAGTGTGCTGTCCATATCGAAGACGAAGAGGCGCTTGTGACGACGGAAAACACTCTCCCGCTGAAGTACGACCTCGACATTCCATTCCCGCTCGAAACGCCAGATGCTTTCATGTTTGCGAAGGTCTGCGAAGGTCAGGTATTCCGGGTTGGGGGGCGGGGAGAAAGTGACTTCCACCACCCGAGGATGCTCATTAGCCTCCAGGCAACGGTGTGAGGTGTTCGTGCGCTGGTAGGGTGTCGGAAGAGACTCGATGATCTGAAGGAAGTTGGTCAGGCATAGTTGCGACACAAATGGGCCGTACAAATGGTCGAGAGGCTCGGGCTCCGGCGCAGGGGGCTCCCGAGGGAGTTTCTCGATGTCGATGGTCGGGGCAGAACCGACGGGGACGGTGGGCGAGGGCAGCGTATCTCCCGGCTTAGCATGCGGGGAGGAGTCGGGGTGCAGGTGAGGATGAATGGGATCCGCAGATTTGTAGAAGATAGTCGCGACTAGTTGCTGAGTACCAGTCTGGAGAGGGTTGGCGTGGGAGTGAAACATGCTGTGGATGATGCCGCTCTCAGTCACCTTCTCGGGGTCGGGACTGATAGGATTCGCCTTGAGGGACAAGGACGCGAAGGAGGACTCGGGGACATTCCCAACATTTCCAGCGTTCCCAGCATTTCCAATCACATTGCCGATGGTCTGGATGGGAACCGAGGGCTTGTATTGCTGGTGATCCTGAATGAAGGAGCTGCTGGAAAGTGTCTGTCGCAACACGGGCCGGGTTGGACGGGAGTTGGCGGGGTTAGGCGAGGCCATTGTTGAGAGATTGATTAGATGCGCGGAGAAGGAAGGCTGGCTCAAAGTGGAGTGGAGAGGGGATGTGATGGAAGGCCCTGGACGATCAAGACAGCCCACCAGCCGGGAATTCAACCCTGGAGTAGCAGAGATAGCAGCAAGGCGGACGAGTCAAGAAAAAAGCTGGCAAGCCGTTGTCGAGGTTCGTCGGTCGCTTTTCCCCTGCAGCATCCATTGGGGATCGGCGGGCACGTGGGGGGAAATGTCACATGATGAGCCGGGCCGAGGGGAAAAAAGATGCCAGTTGGTGGGCTTGACCGCCCGGCAGAAATTATGATGGGTCCTTCATTCATTCACAAGCAGGCATCATCATCATCATCATCTTTGCCTCATTATGTGGGGTAGATAGATGTTTGCTATGCAAAACAACAACCACAGACTTCTCCCACCATGACTAACTCAAACAGTACTCGAGTACGAGTACATGTACTTGAGTAATCGATCGGTGGATAATCATGGAAGATCAGGGTTGGTCTGTCACATTTATCATGTTCATTCTTCTTCGTTCGACGCTAATTCGTTTTCACAGCCCACGGGGAGCAAGGTGTCCTTGATCCTTGACACTTTGGAGTACTTTGATGGACCATGATTGATTTAATTTAATTATGATTAATCATGAGTCTAATCTGCATCATTCGTCTCCGTTCGTCTCTCCGCCGAAAGTTCCATCAGCCAAGTGAGACAACCGGGATTCCTCCTCGGCTTTCGCGATTGATCAGATTTATCAGCAGGAAGCTGACCAAAACGGCTGAGATAAGCCGGTCCGGGGAAGCGCAGGCACCGGCAGTGCAAGTATTGCGTGATTTCCCCAGAAGCCGAGAGAAGGATTTTTTCTGCCCTTCTCCCCATCGGGCAAGCGGTCACGGGCGATGTCGTGATCGCGAGCCCTGCAGAATGGCCCAGCAAGTATGGAGGGAAGAGGGCGAAAGGGAGAACGGACTCCCCGTTTTCCCGATGATGTCGTGATTGCCCCTGCCTGGTCCCTCTTATATCGGAGTCCTCGAGTTCGTCCTCAGTTGTGTCTTGTCTACATCATTCCTCGCCTCCTCCTATCCCTTCTCTCGCCTAATCCGAATCATACTTCTTCAGCAGGCCTTTCTCATTATCATACAAATAGACTTGTCTACTTTCGTCTTTTCCTCAATTCCATTACTTAACTTCTATAGCTCTTGCCCCTCTCTCTATATTAGCACTACTCCTAGTCAAGATGCCTGCCAAGATGTCTGACAACTACCCCTCTGATGGCGAGGCCATTGACTCCAGAGACTCTGGCTATGTCAGTGGCAGCTCGAGTGATGACTATTCTCCGGAGATTGTCTTCACCAAGCCACACTTGAAGTTCCTCAACAGACAATTGCAGTTCCTCGAGCCTCAAGGTCAGTCCGAGTTCTTCTGAGATAGCCCTGGACCAAGTAACTAACAACATCGCTGCAGACGTCCTGAGATGGTGTGTCACTTCACTGCCTCACCTTTACCAGACCACTGCCTTTGGCTTGACTGGTCTGGTCACTATCGACATGTTGTCCAAGTTGGCTGTGCCCCGGCCTCAGATGGTCGACCTGATCTTCCTCGATACCCTCCACCACTTCCCCGAGACCTTGGCTCTGGTCGACCGCGTCCGTGAGAAGTACCCTTTGAACACCATCCATGTCTACAAGCCCCAAGGCTGTGAGACCGAGGAGGACTTCGCCAAGAAGCACGGTCCCCGCCTCTGGGAGAAAGATGACCAGTTCTACGACTGGGCTGCCAAGGTTGAGCCCGCCCAGCGCGCCTACCGTGAACTTAACGTTCACGCCGTCCTCACTGGCCGCCGCCGTAGCCAGGGTGGCAAGCGTGGTGACATCGACATCATTGAGGTTGACGAGGCTGGCTTGATCAAGATCAACCCTCTCGCCAACTGGTCCTTCGATCAAGTCAAGCAGTACGTCAAGGAGAACAACGTCCCTTACAATGAGCTCCTCGACCGTGGCTACAAGAGCATCGGCGACTACCACTCCACCCAGCCCGTCAAAGAGAACGAGGATGAGCGTTCCGGGCGCTGGAAGGGCCAGGCCAAGACCGAGTGTGGCATCCACAACCCCCGCTCCAAGTATGCACAGTACCTCATGGAGATGGAGCGTAAGCGCCAGGAGGAAGCCATTTCGCAGGCTTTCCAGACCTCCCTCACGACTTCTGCTCAATGATTCCATCCCGAGATCTGATTTTCTCTCTTTGCATATGCCACGGCGTTCACATTCCATCGGAGGTTTAGCGGAGTTCACATAGCCTTGATATCACTCTTCTGCTCTTTACATACGACTTTCTGTTCCCTGGGCCTGGGATCTTGGGACATTATGTGTCATGAAGTTTTCTGTCTGCTGCTTTTTATCCAAATGTACATAATGGGGACCGAAACTCATCCGCCCAACCCTGATCCTTCGGGACTACTGTACATACCGGGTCGGCGGAGAAATTTACAAAAGCACTCGGTACTTTAATGACTGCAATACATCATTCTATTTCAAGAAATTCTTTTCACATGTCACTGAATATGTTGCTCTGTTGACTAGGAGCAGTATACGTACCCTTATACCCACTAATTATGGTGCGGCCACGGTGGGGTTCTGTACCACGCAGGATTTTCGTCTGAGACATTGAGCAATAAGCGGTGTATTCCCAACTAATCCCTCTCATATCGTATCTTCTACACTGGGAATCCTTTTGTGTATCTTCGCGACAAGAGGTAGCTTTTGTAGACATGAACTACAGTGATTTACATGCCCATTTGCAATTAGCAATCCTGCAGTGACTTTCCTCTTTTCTTCGCTGAAATCCATCTCAAAAGAGTCGTTGTGAGGGTCTAGAGGCTGTCGCAGTCACCCCCAGGATTTATGTTTTCCTGCACGTGAGCCCAAGAATGAGCTCGAGGTTGTTGGTAAAGATGCACTCAAGGCTTGGAAGAGATATTTCATTCGAGATAGACAGCAACACAGCATTGTCTTCACAGTTAAGCGCTTCCATCTTGGAGAGAAGAGTTTAAGCTTCTGAAACAGTTTTGATGGGCGATCGCCAGTCGATCCTGGCTATACTAATGGAGTGATCAACCGACAACTTGGAATGGGTTTGAGACATCCTGACACAGCCAGTGATCTTATCTTATCAATCTCATCTTTCTGTTACTGTACCCACCAAGTCATGCACACTCTCAGCCACAGACACATCTACACACTTCATGGATAGAAAGCAAAACCAGCCCAATTGATTGTTTTGCGTGATAAACAGAGGTTGGATTGAGGCTCTTGTCCGGACTAACTAAGAAAACACAGGAGGGTCTAGCTCGTCTGGGGTGACGTATACCGAAGGGTCTTGTATCCACTGTGCAACAACCGTGTCAAGCCACGACGAACAGCACAACCCTGTTGCTGGACCATGATATCCAGAAGTCTTCTGGTATTGGACGGACCATGGGGGCAATACTTGCGAATCCAGCCTGATCTCTTGATGCTACGCACTACATGTCATATACTGCTGATCCACGGCAGCAGCAGCTCCTGGGACGTACGTAAGCCGAGAGTTGGGGCATGTCTACCACCTGCTCTGAAAAAAATTAATGGATCTGGTTTTCAGATTGCAACGGTGCCAGATCTGTGGGTAGCGCATCTCACGTTTCCAGCTGTCAGCCGTGTGCTGTGCCGCGTTGGACCCTGAGACCCTGGACTAGGCAGCCACGAACCTCATCGGAATGAGATGGACAGTTCCATCTGCGGGCCGCAAGGCTCAAGCGCGTCGAGGTCACCTGGGGATGGTTTGGATGAACCCCATGTCTCGGTAGGGTCTATGTGCTACCAACCCTGTCGACATAAATGCCTGGTATCGCATCATTTCTAGAAACTCGGGATACTGCCCACCCCAACCTCGACATTCAGAGAGATAGATTCGCCCAGTAATGTTTCCTGGCCCTCACGGTCATGGATTCATGTCCTTAGACACGGTATTAGGCTCTTAGTCAATAGTTCTTTCATGAATGCAAACTAGACTCGATGATATGGTGTTGAATGCAAGTAAAGGTTAGGGCAAGCGGGTCACCTGAGCAGCAACGTGCCAAGATCCGCCCCGCGGATCAAGAAAAAAAAGAAAAAAAACCCCCCTCCCCGATGGCGTCAGCGATCACGCAAGCCGGACTGGGGATGTCGTGATTGTTCTGGGTACCCACGTGACCCACTGTGCCTGGGATCGGAGACGGGGAGGGGTTCAACTTGGAGGTTGACACCTGAAGGAAGCCTGAGCCGATCCGCCGATCGGAGGAGGCTCATCCCAGCCTTCGTTTCATCTCGGCTTTAAAGGTTGCATGAGGATCGTCTCGGAGCATCGCAATCATTTTGTCGGGATGCTGGGGCGCTTTCCCTCCGATACATCTATCTACGTGTTCATGTTGAAGACCCCTGAAAATCATGGCTTTTTACGGGTACAATGGTCCTCCATGCTTGCCTCGGATTGCCGCCGTGGGAGATTATGTGGCTGATACTGGAGGTGCACGATGACGACGCTGGTGCTTTTTCGGTTGCTCAGATCTCCGAGGGACTCGTGTCTTCGAGCAATTAGGGGGATTGTGGGGTAGAGGAGGAAGTCATGGATGCACGAATGGATAGGTGGTAATGATTCGATTGATACTTCGTATAGTTCAGAGATCCTCAAGCAAACAAAGATGTGCCTTCTAGAAGCCGGCTAGAAAGAAGGGTACAGGCATAGCATGCTCACAGCCTGGAATGGCGCAATCGGAGGCAGAAATCCGTGCGACTGAGGGGCAAAAAGGAAAAAAAAAAAAAGGAAAGAAAGTCAGGTACATCCATCATAGAGTTTACAGTCTACAATTTCACCTCGACACAACAATTGACAAGTGACGAGGATAACATACGTAGACCCTCCCCGAACCAAGAGTCGGGCTGCTCCACCATCTGACGAAGCCTGGATTTCCTCAATTGTCCGGCCATTTTTAGTCTTCCATTCCATAGACGAATAGTTACTCCAATCTGGAATTTCCTTGGTCTTGAGCAACCAGGTTGTTTTAGTAGTAGTAGTAGTAGTATCTTTTTTATCTCCGCGGGCATTCACTTAGTAACTTAGTTTCCCCCCTCCTTGTCTTTCTTTTTACTTGTTCCCCCTCCATCCATTCCCTTCCTCTGCCCCCCCCCCCTCTCTCTCTCCATTTATAAACTTCTCTTCTTCCCTCACCCCCACCTCCATTCGGAGTTCCGTTTTTTTTCCTCCTCTTCCTCTTACATCCTCTTTCTCCTCCTCACATTCCCTCCATTCACCATGGCCAACTCTCCTCACGGTGGTGTCCTTAAGGACCTTCTCGCCCGCGATGCTCCCCGCCACGACCAGTTGGCCGCCGAGGCCGAGATCCTCCCCGCCATCTCCCTCACTGAGCGCCAGCTCTGCGATTTGGAACTCATCATGAACGGTGGCTTCAGTCCTCTCGAAGGTTAGTCGGATATTCCAGGTCACTCCAGGTCCAATTGCTATTATTGGACCGCAAAACATTCGCAGGCTAACTTTAGCCCAGGCTTCATGACGCAGAAGGACTTCGACGGGTATGTGACCATTGCATCGCAGTTACATGCTGCTCCAAATCAAGCGATTCATTCAACAAAACTTGTTCTGTTTGAAGTCGTTGGAAGACATTTAAAGCGAAGCAACCAGTGTGCTGATCGTCATCTCCGCTCTCTAGTGTTTGCGAGAACTGCCGCCTCGCTGACGGCAACGTCTTCTCCATGCCCATTACCCTCGATGCCTCCCAGCAAACCATCGACGACCTCAAGCTTAAGGCCGGCTCTCGTGTCACCCTTCGTGATTTCCGTGACGACCGCAACCTGGCCATCCTGACCATTGAGGACATCTACCGCCCTGACAAGTGAGTCAATACCCGTGTTACTGTCTTGTGAACGTGTGACGACGAAAAAAAAAAAAAAAGTCTCCCGGTGCTCGCGATGGCCTGATCGACGTTTCAAAATCAAGTTGAAGCGGGAGTGGCATCGCTTGGCATTCCGTCGGTCTACGGCAAGCGGGCGTTACAGAGTGCCGGGGACTTGCAGATAGTGGGTCTCGATGACGCGGTTGAACGGTTGAGCTAACCAGTGCGCTTTTACCCCTGATCTAGGACGAAGGAAGCCAAGCTGGTCTTTGGCGGAGATGAGGAGCACCCTGCCATCAAGTACCTGAACACCAAGGTCCAGGAATTCTACATTGGTGGCAAGCTCGAGGCTGTCAACAAGCTCAACCACTACGACTATGTCGGTCTTCGCTGTACGTCGTCATCACCATCTGTGCGCGGATACCTGAAACAATAATGCAGAGCGCCAGACTGACCTAGTGGACCTGATTTCTAGACACTCCCGCGGAATTGCGCGTCCACTTTGACAAGCTCGGCTGGACCCGAGTTGTCGCTTTCCAGACTAGGTATGTGTGGCTGGTCTAGACTCTGTCCTGTTCTCCCTCCTTGTCCCAGAACCTGACTAACGATCAATCAGAAACCCCATGCACAGAGCTCACCGTGAACTGACTGTCCGCGCTGCTCGTGCCCGTCAGGCCAATGTCCTGATCCACCCCGTCGTCGGTCTGACCAAGCCCGGTGACATTGATCACTTCACCCGTGTCCGTGCCTACCAGGCTCTCCTCCCCCGCTACCCCAACGGCATGGCCGTTCTTGGTCTCCTGCCCTTGGCCATGCGTATGGGTGGTCCCCGTGAGGCCATCTGGCACGCCATCATCCGTAAGAACCACGGTGCCACCCACTTCATCGTCGGCCGTGACCACGCTGGTCCTGGTAAGAACTCCAAGGGTCAGGAGTTCTACGGCCCTTACGATGCTCAGCACGCCGTTGAGAAGTACAAGGACGAGCTTGGTATCGAGGTCGTCGAGTTCCAGCAGGTCACCTACCTGCCCGACACCGATGAGTACCGCCCCAAGGACGAGGTTCCCGCTGGCGTCAAGACCCTCGACATCTCCGGTACCGAGCTCCGCAACCGCCTGCGTACCGGTGCCCACATCCCCGAGTGGTTCTCCTACCCCGAGGTTGTCAAGATCCTCCGCGAGTCCAACCCTCCCCGCTTCAGCCAGGGTTTCACCATCTTCCTTACTGGTTACATGAACTCCGGCAAGGATGCCATCGCTCGTGCTCTTCAGGTCACCCTGAACCAGCAGAGCGGTCGCTCCGTCACCCTGCTGCTCGGTGACACCGTCCGCCACGAGCTCTCCTCTGAGCTGGGCTTCAGCCGCGAGGACCGCCACACCAACATCCAGCGCATCGCCTTCGTTGCCGGTGAGCTGACCCGCGCCGGTGCGGCCGTCATCGCTGCCCCCATCGCTCCCTACGAGGAGTCCCGCAAGGCTGCCCGTGACGCCGTCACCCAGGGTGGTGGTAACTTCTTCCTTGTTCACGTCGCCACCCCTCTCGAGCACTGTGAGAAGACTGACAAGCGTGGTATCTACGCCAAGGCTCGCCGCGGCGAGATCAAGGGCTTCACTGGTGTCGACGACCCCTATGAGGCTCCCTCCAACGCCGATCTCACTGTCGACGTTTCCAAGCAGAGCGTTCGCAGCATTGTGCACGAGATCATCCTCATGCTCGAGAGCGAGGGCTACTTCGACCGCAACTAAATTAGCGTAGGCGCTTTCGGAAAACTTTTGTGATTTTATTTTCTTGTATCATGGTATCATGTGGAATACAGGCAGGGCTTGTGAGATCCAGGGTGATTTAGAAGGACAATTGTCTATAGAGATTACTGGCTTTGAATATTATTATTGATTCCCCCACTGCATAGTAACTATGCTACTGCAATTGCTCCTAAGTAAGCTAAGCCCGATTGAGACAGAAATGCAAACACGCGAAACACCAACACGGCTCTTCCGTCTTTCAACCTTCAATCTCCGCATTTGAGCTATTCAAGTTCCTCCTCCAACAACAACCACACAACTGTCACAACTCTTCAATCCCTGAGGATGTTGCCTCCTCGCATGTCCGTCTCTCGAATAGCGGGCCTGAATCGCCCGCTGCGATTGCCGGTGCTACACAGCTCTCGTCGACTCACTCAACGACCATTTACGCAGACTTCGCGACAACTCGTTCTAGCCCCGCCGCCCAGTCGCCCTCAACTCGACTTCCTCACGCCCACCTCCACCAGCCTCCCTCTTCCCCCGTTGTCCATCCACCTCCGCCGTCATGTTGCCCGTCTCATCTCCACCGAGAGCCGCAACTATTACCGCCGACGCATCTCAGGCAGCCTCAAGCTCGCTCTCTCATTCACCGCCATCCTCCTCCTTTTCAATGTGGTCCAAATCGGCGTTAACCAAGCCGAGCTCGAACACCAATGGCCCACGCCCGACGAATGGTCGTGGAAGAACCGCTGGCGACTGCGGTCGGCGCAAGCGCACCAAAACCCGGAGAAGATCGGCAAGCTCATGACCGACTGGGCCATGGTCCGGAGTTTCCTGCGGGACCTGCTGGAACAGCTCGAGGATCCGGAACTCGAAGGCAAGGGCATCGTGGACCAAGCCGAGGGCGGGTTCCTGGTGGACGGGGTCGGGAAAACGGGCTACGACATCACCGCCAAGAGCGAGCCGTGGCGCCGGGGCTACTACCAGGCGCTGATGGGCGCCGCCAAAGCGGCCGAGTCCCTCGAAGGCTGGATGACGGATCGCAAGCAGCTGGTCTCCGCGCCGGCCGAGTACGTCGTCGGGCCCTCCAACGCGCGGCCGAAGCCCATGCCCACGAAGCAGAAGAAGGTGCTCCACGAGGAGGACTGCGAGCCGGCCTCCCCGCCGCCGCAGTCCTTCTACGTGAAGATCCTCACGACGCGCGGCTTCACTACGGGCCAGAAGGTCGAGGCGGCGCTCGCGTACGCGGACTGGCTCGCCTACAAGGGCCTGGCAGCCACCGCGGAGGAGGTATACCAGTGGGCGATGGACATCGCGGTCTCCGGCACCACCACCGCCACCAGCGACCCGATTGCGGTGGTGGACACAAAGACGGGCATCCTCCGCAACGACGGCCAGCACTTCCCGTCCGAGAACATTCTGCGCGTGTCGACGGCGCAGGCCGTCCACCAGGCCCGCCAGGGCAACCTCCCGACCGCGCTCTCGATCTTCACCTCCGTGCTCAAAGCCCGCCGTTCCATCCCCGCGGGCGTGGGCGAGCCCACCACCGCGTACACCCCGACCCTGCCGCGCTCGCCGGACCCCTTCCGCTCCTTCTTCAACAAGCTGCAGACCACCCTCCGCCCCGCCGCCTACCCGCCCCCGCCACCCACCGGCGACGCCCCGCCCGCCCGCACCCCGGCCACCGTCTGCGACCAGGCCGCCCTCATGACCTACATCGGCGAGATCCTCTTCGCCTCATCCTCCCAGGAATCCGGCCTCGCCTGGACCCGCGATGCCGTCGACATGGCCGAGGCCACCATGCTCGAGCTGAACTCCCCCGGCTCGGACCCCGAACCCGTCGCCAACGTCCGCTGCGCCGACTGCCTCCGCGTCGGTCTCGCCAACTGGAAGACCATGGTCAACCAGCTCATCGCCCGCGCCGAACAGGAGGAAGATGAGGCCGTCGAGAAGGCCGCCCACCAACGCACTTCTTCTTCTTCGTCGTCGTGGTCGTCGTGGCTCCCCCGCGGCGGCAGCAGCAGCAGCAGCAGCAGCGAAAGTCTGGTGCAGCAGAAGATCCTCGAGCGGAAGCGCTGGGAGGCCGAGGGCATGATCCTCGATGAGCGTCGCGCCCGGCTCGACTGGTTGGTCGAGGACTATTCGCCCTACGAGGGCTTGGCGCCGAATGCGTCGCTCTTTACCTAGTTTTTTTTTGGTTATGCTGGTGTTGAGATGTAATTGTAATATCTTGAACGTCGTTGGTGCTTGTGTATTACATGAGCCTGTATTGCGGAAAACTTCGGGGAAATTTCGTTCTTGTTGCACATGCATGCTGGTTGGAGTTTTCGGGTGGGTTTGGCGGTTGTATACTGTACATGTACATAGGATTTTTCTTTTTTACTCGAATTGTTCCAGATATGGGCATATGTAAGGGGGTCAAGTGGTACCAGCTTGCACTAACTTATCATGGATGATCCTCTTTCTTGGGAAGAGTACTGCTCCTCATCTATTTTGCCGGGGTAGGGAACACACAAGAAAAGCTTTTCAGCTACTCTGCTACTTTCCAGCTACACTCCATACTTTAAATTCCAAAAGAGTTGGCTTGGGTCGGGCAGATTTATTGACATTGCGAGTGCTAGTGCTAGTGCTAAGAGTACAATTGGGTTTGATATTATGATGAATTGCGCGAAAAAAGGATTGAACCACTAAAAGTCCACACCCAAGGATAACAATCATCCTCCGACCACGTTCCCATTCGGTAAGGTGATTTGATACTGATCGAAGTTCAGAGTGAAATTCCCTTTCAAGCCGGCTGGAGCCAGGTCGATGGCATGGATGTGTTTCGACTCCTCGGTATATACGTTCGTCAGGTACAGCTGGAGGTCGTTCTCTGCGAAAGTGGCAGCAGACAGGGTGCCGGTCTCCTGGAATATGTACAGGACCGAGATTCGAGCGAAGTTCAGGGCTTTGCTTGTGATCACCGTCGTTGAATTGGAGGATGACGACGCACCCGCCGTTGACGTGGGCGAAGAACTTGCTGCTGTCACTGTCGAGGTCGTTTGAGATCCTGGATGACGGACATCTGTGGCCGTCGCTGCATGGGTGGCTGTTGCTGTGGCGGTGGCGGTGTCCGTCGCAGCTTGCCCGGTCTTGGTCGGTGGAGTGTCGTCGAAGATGATCCCGTTCTCTGTAGCAATAGAGGCACGGGCAGCGAGAACTTGCGTGGGCAGATTCGGTGTGGCCGAGGTCGGCGGTGGTTGTTCGTAGGCAAATGGCAGTGGGTTGGAGTTGGAAGATTCCGTCAGGTCGTACCAGGGAAGGAAAGCACGGCGCGATTTACTGCTGCTCGTCGAAATGCCGGAGAAGGACACCAGGCTATTCTCGGTCGTGCACGAGACATTGTTCTGGCTGAACAGTGCCATGATAGTCGTCTCATCCAGTGCGATGCTGTAATCCTGCTGGGCGCCTTCGAATAAGTCTGGAAGGTCACTACCCATGGTGGCACTCTTGTTGTTGATCTTGGCTGTAACACAGCTGGCATCGCCGGCAGTTGCGCAACGAGTGCCTGTAAAGCCATTGGCGCAGACACAGGAGCAGACATTGCCGCTCGAAACACTGACACCACCATTCTCACACGGTGTTGTCTTCGCACAGTCAGACCCGCTCGACTTGTGCTTAAGAACGACCAAGCAAACAGGGATTAGAACAGCGGCTAAGATGATGATGATGATAATGACACAGACAAGTCCGAAAAGCCATGGGGGCATACCACAGCAGCGGCGGGTCTGCTTTGGTTGGGCTTTTTCCTGATCCACTTCTTTGGGAGGCTCGTTGGAGTGGATTTGATGGAGCGTGGATCTTCGGAAAAAGAAAGGCCAGGATGAGTGAGCGCCGTCCTGTACCGCGGCAGGGGGTGGGAAAGATGCTAGAATACTCTGTATTGATCCCGAGTTACGTCTCTGGTCTGTTTGAACGTATTAGCATTCTGTGATATAAAGATCAAATACAACCAGGTCACTTACGAAAACGAGGATTTCCTCCATTGAGTAGATCATTTCTGCTTGCAGTTCGCCCATGCTCGAGATTAGACGCGAGTTTGGTCGCTCGGCGAATCAAATCAGGTAAGCTTGTTAAACTTCCACGAGCCTCTGCATCACGAACAGCAGTCATATTCAATCGAGGAGGTCGACGGCCCATTGGCCTTGTTTCGCTTATTGTCGGCGCTGCCTTCGGGAGTCCTCCAACCTCTTTTCTCAGGGCCGCATTGTTATCGTAGGGGCGAGCCAGAGCGGGATGTTCAGCACTGAGATCCAGCATAATCGGCGCTTTCTCCGTACCAAAATGTGTCGAGCCAGACGATACTGTTGACATGCTATCGTTCCGCTCTCTTCCAGCAGCTATCTCTTTCAAAACTGCCGCTGTGGCCGCTGTATCGGTCGTAGTTGGTCTGGCAGACGCTGGGGTTTTCTCCGATGGTGGTACAGGCGAGTTTGTACTGGGTTTCTGGATGGTGCGCAATGCAGGCTTTCCGCGGGTTCCAATACTTGCCTGCCTCAGAAGCGCAGGGGCGGCTACCTGCAAAGAATGTTGTGATCCACTATCATCGGAGTCGCCTTCCAGGTAAGTACCTAATATCTCCGACTCGGCTGGCCCAGAGCACCAACTAGGAGGATATGGGCGACTTGGCGCGTGAAGCTCTCTTGAGATCGTGGGGCTGTCGGGCAATTCCTCGGGAATCGGTGAGACGGAGGATCCACGATTATCAGTTGGTCGAGCTGCTGGCATCGGCGGAGCAAGGCCACCCGCCTTTTTCAGTGGAAATGCTGAGGAAGCAACATGCTCCGTGGGTGATGAATGAGCCGTCCCCGGCAGGTCAGTAAGAGAGATTGTACCGACTGACGAAACTCCGGACTGTCTAAATAGGTCTTCAGTGGCAATGGATGCCCGGGGCGTCGAACCTGCGAGAGTGCTTGGGCTAGGGGGGATTGGAATTCTGATTGCTGGTCGCGGTGCATGTTGAATCGGGAGAGGTTGCGAGAAGGACGGGACAGGCCGTTTGATGTTTAGCGGGCTGGGTACAACGTCAACGCTCCTTTCCGAGTACACAGAAGGCGAAGGGCAGTCGGGCCGTGGGGGTCGCTGTGGTGGAGGACCTTTGGGAACTATTAGTCGCGCGTGAGCGTTGGCTACGTCGATCTGCTGGAGTCCATCGTTGGGTAGGGGCCATTGTGTCAGATGAGCCGGATTGGTCCTGAAAGTAGACACTGGTTCTGGAGCTGGCTCGGGACGTTTTCCAGCATTCAGCATCTCCCTTGCTCGTCGTACTGATCCTTTTCTCTCTACGGGCTCAGAGCCCGTATCCGCTGGGTTAGGTTCCATGTATTAGCGTGGAACGGGGGATGACAACTGCAGCAAGCGCGATATGATGTCGCGGTGAGTGAGTTCGATCCTTGCTAGCGCATAGAACAAGAGCTGGTACCGCTCTGCTGGCTGGCAACTGATCGTTGACGAAAGGTAACCCAGCCGCGGCGTCGATAAGCGAGCGATTGTAGACAGGTTGAGCGGGTGACGCTGATGGAAGTTTGATAAGTTGCGTCTGTCTGTTGCCTAGTAACAACAGACTTGGGATTTCAAAAGAAGGTGGATGTTGAGAATGATCGTAAGGGCACTCAATGCCTCTGGAGGGGTCAGGTAAGTTCAATGTCGCAAGTCGGCTGGTGCACATTGTAGGCAGCGAGACGATCGAGGGTGCATACCACAAGAAACAGGTCTTACTCAAAAGAAAAGGAAGAAACAATTCAAAGACTCTAAGTCACAAGAACATACTATAAGACTTGCAAAGTCTAAGAAGAATCCCCGGCTAGTCACCAAGCCCCTGAGCGCATAGAACAGAAATTGAAAATCAGCAAGCCTTCGTCATGATTCACCTAAGACACGAAATGGGAACTTACAGAATCTCCCACAAAGAAAAGAAGAACCGACTAAAGGGATCAAAAGGACCTCTAGCCCTTACCCCCAAGAGAAAAGAGCGGACGACTGGACAGTACGAAGTAAAAAGAGAAGAAAACAACTCCCAGCGCGTGTATAGACGGCAAGCAGGTCTTTGGGCGATAACGCCTCACGGACGGAAAGTCAGGCCCAGGGGTTTCCGGAATCCCAGCAAACCTAAAAGTCGGAGGGAGATACTAAAGACACTTCATTTCCGTGCTTTGCCCAGGGACTGGACTCAAAGCAGGGTGCGCCGGCGCAAACGTTTGGGAGTCACACCCGTTCAAGTCTAGGTGGAGTTGGAGCCAAAGCGATAGCGCGGAGACAGGCACGGGAGGTCGTTTGTGACGGAAGGGATTAGATCCTTAGGAGCACCGGATGACCTGCTAAACTGCTACTAGGCTTCAAGATAGTCTAACCGCCGCAAATATGCCGTCGTTGTACTCACTTCCCAGAGTGGGTGGTGCCTCGTTTCATGGAGATGCGCCGGACGCAACAAATCGACACCCGCGGGGATGATCAATTGATATGGATTAGATGGTATTTCTTTGTTTCATTTTGCTTTTTTCCCCTTCCCCTCGCTTGCAGATAATCTTGCACACACAATGCAAACCGCTGCTGGATTATGGAGACACCAAGAGTCGCAAGATTATGCATATTCCGGTCATTTTGACCGGGGAAGTCGAATAGGCGAGACGGCAAGGACCATAGACAGGCCAGAAATTGAGATCCTGAGTAAACGGGAGGAGCTGAGGGACCGGAGCTAAGACCCATAATGGAGGAAATACAAGGGACGGCGGGCGGCCATTGGGCGGGCGGGGCACACCCAAGACTCGCAGAGGGACCAAAGAGCATGGCGGTTGACACTAGAGTCTCAGCTTGAGCAGAAGTGCCACTCGCTGGAGAGCGGCATTGCGGCCCTGGAACTTCAACATGAAACCAGTGATGAAGTCCATCCGTGGGTGAGGGTCCAATGATGGTGCAGAACGAACAAGCGGAAACACGGGCGTCGGAGGCAAGAATCACGAATTGCATTCACTCCTCAGTCGGCAGAATGGGGAGAGTTCCACCAGGAATTCATGAAGCGAGTCAAGCGACGTGTGCACCGGGGGGGTGATTCGTGCCATGATTTGGTCCTGTCCTTCCAGCGGTAGTGCTGACGGCTCCATTCCATGGATCAGCATCATACTGCAATGACCATTATCATTATCATGATA